AGAGTGGAATATAGATTCTTTGAGGTTATTAAATCCATCATGTCTTATACATAATGGACAAATTGAGTTTAAATGAAAGTCTTTTTCATTTCATTAAGCTTGTTTCCTAGTACTGTTGACCTGCTAGAGAATATGCTTTTGCATATACAGGTGAATGTTTTGCAATTCATGTATATAAGAAATTGTAGGCATTAAAATATTTAATTAAAAATTAAATATTTTAAAATTTAAAAATTAATTTTAAAAAAAGTTCAGTCCTCTTTAGAGAAATATAACAAAATCCAAAGTCACCACACCATAACATTCATGGTGTCCAATATATAATCCAAAATTACCCAACATGTAGATAAGCAGGAATCATGGCCTTTCTCAAAAGACTCTTAGGTGACCAGATATTCACCCTCAAATGGCTGGGGGCATGACTCAAGTGATAGAGAACCCGCCTAGCAAGCACAAGGCCTTGAGTTCAAAGCCCAGTACCACCCAAAACAAACAAACAAACAAAAACTCTCAAAGACTTCAAAGTACCTGTGGTAAAAATGGTTAGTGATATAAAAGACAACATACTCACAATGAACAAAAATATAGGAAATCTGAGCAGAAAAGTAAAAAATATAAGAATTAAATGGAACTAAAAAAAAAGATTCACGAGATAAAAACTTTACCAGATGGCTTAACCACAGGATGAAGATGACAGCAGGAAGTCAGTGTGCTTTTGGCGATACATCAGTAGAAGTTATACAAGCCGAGGAAGAGGGAAGAAAAAGGTAAACAAAAAAAAAAATCAGAAAGAATTGTGCCTCAAGCCCATGTGGAACCATAGCAAAAGGTCTAACATTGGAATCACAGCAGGAGACAAGAGGTAATGGCTAGAACTCCCCAACTGGGGTAAAAAGCCTAAACCTACAGTTTTGAGAAGCTCAGGAAACTCCAAAAAGGATAAATAGAAAGAAAATCATAAATAAGCTGCTAAAAAACAAAATCAAAGAGAAATCTTAAAAAGCAATACAAAAAAGTGACACATTACAAATAGTTGCCATCTCTCTTCAAGCAGAAATGACGGAGTCAAAGACAGTGGGACAATGACTGACACGCTCAAGGAGAAAACTGAAGCCAAACAGAGCAAAGTCCTCTCAGCCTGGGATTTGGTGCCCTTCAAGAATGAAGGGGATGCTTTCAGATTAAGCAATACAACGCAAAACAAAGACAAAAACCAAGACAATTGTCTGCAAGTCCATCTTCAGAGGCTACAGCGGGCTCAAGGAATGGGAAGACTTGGATGTTGGTGAAAGGATAAAGAACTTTAGAGATGGTAAGCATCTGCTTAAATACGAAAGGCTAGTTTCTTAATTTTAAAAAAATGCACAGGAGTGTGGTCAAAACAAAAATTATAGACTCTTCTTATGGGATTTGTAATGTATATAAATATAAAACAAATGACAACTGGAGCATGAAGGACAAGGGTGGGGGGCCTGTGTGGTCTCAGCTTTCTGCTTCTCATGTGGAGTGATACAATATGGACTTTAGGTGGACTGTGGCACCTAGAGAAACCACCAACATTGTGAGGCAGAGAGGCTCAGCAAGTAGCACCCAAAAAAGAAAGTGGTAGGGCCTCTCTCCCAGGCTGCTCTGCAGTAGCTGGGCCGGGAAAACCCCGGTCCCCCAGAGTCCCATCACTGGGCACCTTCCTTCACAGTGGGCTCGTGAAAAAGACAGGCTATAATTGAAGGCACTTCCCAGGGGTGACAGAAGTAACTATTGGTGAATCAGAAAATGCCAGACCATAGCTCATCACTCTTTGAGGAACTTTTTCAGGGAAATGTCTCTTAGAAAAGACCCAAGGACATGCTTTGAATGGGAAAATGTTTAAAACTCTGCTTATAAACATTGCTGTTAGACTTTGTTGTACTGTAAATTGCCTCCAAGGGTTGCGATAAATCTAGTTGGTTTGCTGCTGTGTTCACCTCGGAAACAAGAGTTATGCATGGGGGCCCTGGAGGAGGTACCAGATACCTGTGTTTGCAGAAAGCCCATGCCTGTCCCCAGACCCATGCTTGCTGGGTTGTGTTCTCCGTGGTGCTCATGCCCATCAGGGTGGCATCCCTGGTCCGCTGGACAGGCTGCTCAAGGCTATCACATGTCTACAGTGCTTCTCAACCCTCAGGCAGGGAAACATTTGCCTACAGACATTTTTTTCCTCTCCGTTACATATGTTTCTGTGAAAGGACTAAGCAGGAGGATTTGCAATGAATAATTCATGTATAATTGTTTTCAAAATATGAAGTTATTTTTTTTTTCAAAGCAAGCAACCCATCTATTAACTTCAGAGACCCACTGCCTCTGGGTGCTTCTGTGTGGGCTTCAGTGTTCTCTCTTACCACTTGTGTGGCCCCAAGCTGTGACAGGCGTCTCAGAAGAGTCAGGCACAGGAGCACACACAGATGGTGTGGAGTTCCCAGTCACTCAACACCTGCCCAACTCCCGGGGGCAGGCCCTCAGTGTGGCTTTGGAGTTCAGCTCCAGCCCTCCTCCAACCCCCCCACACACACCAGCAGTGCTGCAGCACCTGCAGCCCTTCGGTCTGCTTGGCCCCAGCCCTGCAACAAACACTCTGCACTGTTTCACTTGTGACCTCCATAGGCAAGCCTGGCCAAGGCCACACCCAACTGATGGACCAGGAAGGCCACAATGATCACCTTCCCATTCAGTTTGTCACCTGCATGGTGCCAGTTCCCCAGTCCCCTTCCCACATGCTAGTAGTAGACACCAATACAAAAGGAGCTGATGACCACACTGTAATTGTGGCCTCTCCTGTGTTGAGTCAAATCTAGACTGTGACGAAGTGGTTCACGGTCTGCACCTCTAGTCTGGAATTGGCATTGAGAGATGGGAGTAGGGAGAAACTGTCTCTGAGGGAGAGGGCCTTGTAGCACCCCTCGGAGGCCTCCCATCTTCTCCCATGGCAAGGAGGGGTTGTCACAAGGCATCCTCCAAGGCTCCAATCAGTCTGCCTTGTGTGGCCAGTGTGGGTGCCTGCTAGGGCTCCAGGGCTCCATGACGGGGTTCCCCCCTCCTTCCTCCTGTGTCATTTCCTGTCCATTTCTACCTCCCCTGTTCTTCATCCGGCTCAGCTTCCTTATTCCAACAAGGGTTCACCATAGCAATGGTTGATTAGATGGAATCCCAGGCCTGACAACTCCTAGTCACGTGACTGGGGCCAGTCACTTAAAGGCCCCCAAGCCTTAGTTTCCCCATCTTCAGCATGGGATTGGCAAGAGCACCTTTCCCCAGGCTTCTCATAAGGATTGGATGGGAGCTGTGTGTGCCTGAAAAGAGCTCAGCATGGTGCCTGGCATGCAGCAAGATGAACACATCACTGCCCAGGAACAGTGCCATGATGCCCACAGTGTAACAGCATCTTACCACAAACTGTTTCCCATCCTGTCTCAGTCCCGAAGCTTTACTCTGAAACTGTCGCACCGGAGCCACCTTATCTTCCTCATTCCCATATGATCCTGAGAAAAGCGGGACCTCAAATGCCATGTCCTTAAAACATCCCTTTCTGATCCCAAGGCTCTAGCCAAGCCATGGAAGTAACAGAAGTGGGCCAGGCTGGCCAAATCAGAATGTTCAAATAAAGTCAGCTCTGCAGCACTGGGCTCTGTGCAGTGGGTACGTCTGTGAAAGGACCTGCATCACTGGCACACAGCTGTCAGCTGCTCCTGGGAGAACAGGCTACACTGGACAGAGCCTGCTGGTGAGGCCAATGGCCCCTCACCACAGTCCATGTGGAGCTCTGTGGAGAGACTAAGCATAATTTACAGTGCCGTAGGCAACATAGCACTACTTGTCCACTGGTGCCACTGGATCGTGGCGTTCCCAGCCCTGTTGGTCCTGTACCTCTCCTCACAGACCCTGTCCCATTACCATCCCTGCTGGTGAGCTTCAGTAAACCTCACCTACCACCTCTGGGTATTTTCTTTGATCTCTCAGCCTCCATCCACTGCCCTAGTGCAGCTGGCCATAGACACTACTCCTCACACTCTTCACAGTCCTCTGCATGCTTAGCCATCCTGGAGAGCCTTTGTCCTCTGTTCCCATTGGGGTCAGCCATCCTACACAGCTTTGGCTTCTAGACACACAGATTCATTTTGAACTGTGATTCTGTGGTTTTTGCTGGAAGAAAACTGTGCTTCCTCCTTGTGAGTGAGTGTGAATATGGGAGAGCAGCCTATACCCCCAGCACTCCTACTGGGTGCAGCTCCCTCTCGGTACACAGCTGTCTAGGTTGTTGACTGATCAACCATTGATCCAAAGGTGTCAGCTGCCCAGAGTAGCCCAGTCAATCCATTTGCCTTAAGAAGGTGGCATCAGGAAGATTCTGCTCCAATGTGTACAACATAGGGAGGTGTGTTTTCCCAGTTGCCTCCCCACCACACACACACACACACAAATAAATGGAACAGGAGGTGTGATTGCTGGGGGGAAAGGGTCAGAAATAACTGTCACAGGGAGAAGAAAAAAGGTGCCCATGGATTCCTTCCCCATCACCCAGCCACAGCTCTCCATGTGAACTATGGGTCATGATGAATCTTTAGTGAAAACCTTATTTTCTTTCTTTAAGCCACCTTGCTTTATTGTGCTTGTGTGTCCTTCAATGTAGGTGAATGTAAATCTGGCTTAGAAGACTTTTAAAAGCCACTGCAGGGACAATAGACATGAACTTGGCCACCCTGGCTGGCAGTGCCTTGGAGGAGTGTTGATGAGCTGCCCCTGGCCTGAGTGCCATGTGCCTGACCCCTTGTTCACTCACACACTCAACAAACACAGGCCTTATGCTAGGGCCCAGGCATACAGGACCCTGTCCCCGCCCTGGCAGCCTGAGTGAAGGCAGACAAGTAACAATCATGGGCTGGAGCCAGCGCAGGACAGGAGGGGCTCGGCCAAGCAGTGACACCAGACAACCTAACACCTCTCCACCCGCACCTGTTCCCTGCCAGGTCCTGGAAGACAGTGGGATGCCCATGGACGACACACAGTACTCTCTGCTGACCACCAAAATAGGCTACAAAAAGGAAGGGATGAGTTACCTGGACTTTGCAGCAGGATTTGAAGGTAGCGAGTGGCCAGGTGCACACCTGCCCTTGCATCATGTCTCCTGGGGTCCCACATGTCCTTCCTAGCTGTGCCACTAGACTGCTTGGAGATGTTGGCTAAGGTGCCAAAGCAATGTTTTTTCCAGGACAGATGTTTTTTCTTAATTTTATCTATATTTCAGCCCTTTCCACTAAGTGAAACAGAATTTTCTGTGGCACTTGGTCTGAGTCTTCTATAAGCTCAGAGCACAAATGATTCCTAAAATTTACTCAAAGCCCATTTCTTCAACTACACCTGATATCCTTGAAGCTTTTCCTCCTAAAAAGATGTTAGTTATGTGTAGTTAATAATTCCATGCTCAGGCCAGGCAAATATTGTTCCTCTCTCTTGACAGATAGGGATACAGAGATTCTAGAATGTTCAGTGATACCTGAGCTTATCACCACCCCCACCACCACTAGGAACCCATCCTGTGCTGTGAAAATGTGGGACTGGGTCCTCCCCTGTGCCACCTGCACCTTCTTAGGTTTCCCAGCAGTCAAGGGCAAATAGGACGACCCTCCTGAGGGCAAAGGCAGGTGGGCCTCCAGCCCCTGGAGGAGCCAATGTTGCTACCTTCTCTTTGCTCACAGCTCTGGCAAAGCCGTGGAGTTTGTGCATGAGGTCATGGAACACTCTTCTCACTGCTGCTAGTGCCCTACAGGGGGGCTGTTTATCCCAGTGGTCCTCGGCATGAAGTGTTCTTCTTGGCCCTCCTTTAGGAGGTGGCAGCATCTCTGGAGAGCCTCCCCCAAATGGTGCCTGGGATCCCCCACCTCTGTCAGATTCACATTTGCCAACCTCAGGGAGAGGTCCTATTCCTGTGGGGGAGGGGGTGGGAGAGACAACATGGGCAGCTTTCTCTGGCTGTGTGTCTTAACACTCTTGAAGGAAGATGAATGGAAGGAAGGGAGCTTGTGTGGCCCCATTGGACCAGGGGCATTCCTTTATCAGGGGAGAGAGTGGGCTCAGGGTGAGCCAGTGAGTTCCCAGCAGAGTGGCCAAGCTCAGCATTTGTCTCTGCTCTGTGCCCCTCCCTTTGCTGCCCTTCCTTTTCTTGACATGTCCCCCTTACTCCCTCTGAACAACCTGGCTGACCTCCATCAGACCCCATTGGGCAAGATGCTGCAAGAGGGAAAGCCAGGCTCCATGACCCCAGGCCAGGGGTCAGCAATGGGTACTGCAGTGGAGTCAGCTCATCTGCCAGGCAGTAACCAGCTACCACTGTGCAGTGCAGGGGGTCAGAAGCTGGGCCCAAGACTAGACCAGAAGATGATCTGGGCACCCTGTCTCCACCACTGGGACCCCTGTGGGGTCCATCTGCAGACCCCACACATGGGGAGGGCTTGGCTGAAACATGCACAGAGAATCACACTTACAGCCATGTCCCCACATGAAATAGCTTTAGACAAGGTCCCCCAGGTGCCCCCAGCCCTGAGGGGAATGGATTGGGTTTTAGTAGTGGCTGTACCTCCTCGCTCTGTTGTAGGGAAGCGAGCCAGCATGATGCAGTCCCTAGCTAGTGGGCTCTAGAAGCGGGTGGGCTTCCATTCAGCTGTGGAGCCTGAGTGGTGCCAGGGCAGCTGGGGGACCCTCTGAGCCCCATCTCCTCTGAAAAGGCACAGGATCACTTCTTGGTGCTTCAACAAGGAGTGAGGCTCTACTTCACTGGGTGGTTGGGAAGGACCATGATACGGGTGAAGGCCCTTACCATGGTGTCTGACAGATACGTGGTCAGGACTGTCTGACCACAGACAGGGAAGAAATGACACATTCCTGTCATTAGGACATAACTCCAGGGACCAAAGAAGAGGCAGAAATTCTCTTCCTCTGCCCCTAGAGTTGGGAGATGAACAAGACACTATCCCTGCCCTCAAAGAAGGACAGAGACAGACATGAGATGAGTGAACACATCAGGGCGCCAAGTGCAATGTGGCCTCATAGTCTAGGGAACAAGTTCCTTTTGTGGTAATAGGAGCCTTTCTAAGAGATGGGAAGATTGGAAAGAAGATCCTGTGAAAGTCAATGGTGTGTCCATTGCAGGGCATAATGACTGTCACGAGAAGGGAAGCAAGAAGGTGCGAAAGTAGAAATCAAGAGGTGGGCGCGGCACTAATGGCAATCTCGTGTTCTGGTCATTTCAGATGCTAAACTGGGTGGGTCAGGTGTGCCTCTAGTGCAGTCTCCGGTTTCTTCAAAGACTCACTTGAACAGCCACTTTATATCTGCTGAAGAATGCCTAAGACTTTTCCCCAAGAGGCTGAAGGAATCATTCCGGGTAAGGTGTGACTACCACTCCGCTTCTCTGGGGCTTCCTTCTGCTCCCTGCCCTGCAGCCCACACAGGTGTCCACTCAGCCCCTGAACTCCAGGGGACACACAGCTTTCTCTGGAAGACTAGTTGGTTAGAGAGAAGGGCACGGAGCGGGAGTCTGACTCTGAGACCCTCCCCTTTGCTGAGGCCTCCTGCTGACTGATGAATCAGTTCAGCAGGGTACATTCCAGCCCTGGTGCCCTCTGTCTCTCAGGGTTTGGCATATTAAACTCATCTTCTTCCCGCTTGAATGCCCTGTTTCTACCTCTCAGCACAGATGTTTCTAGGAGGAGAAGTAAGGAAGGAGGCTCTTTCACATGGCCAGCCATGGTCAGTAGGCCTAGGACCCATGGTGTCCATTGCACTCCACTCGCTCACTCACCACACAAGTGTAACATACTCACCATGTGTTGGAATCCATGCTAAATGCTGGAGATGGGCCATCCAAGCCCTTCCTAGGGTGCTAATCTGCTCCAAGACACAGCAGCAAATAAACAAGTCCCAGACAGTCCGTGGGCTCCTGATGAGGAGGCGGAGCATGCTATGGAGCAGTGGGAAAGACCCTTTAAGGTGTACTTCCTGGAGAAGGTGGCCCTTTTCTACCTCTGAAGCCCTAATCATGTGCTGGCCAGAAAAGGAGGGGCAAGCCATGGATAGGTGGCCCACTGGTGCAGACAGAGTCAGGCTCTAGGAGAAGACATGGCAGCTCACTGGGTGAGAGGCATAGCTTGCACATTGTGAACAACAGCCATTGGAAGGCAGAGGCAGGGACAGAGTGCCCTAAACTCTGTGCTGAGAGGTATAAACAGAGCATTCAAGCGGGAGGAAGAGAAGTTTAATTGCCATACCCTGGAAGACAGAGGGCACCGGGGCTAGAATGTACCCTGTTGAATCAATTCAACAGGCAGGAGGAGGGAGAGAGAGGGGTTCCCCAGAGGAGAATGGAGGGGGATGAGAGCAGCTGGCAGAGTGAGCCTCCAAGGGGTGGTGCTGGGCTGGAGGCAGCGTGAACTCTCTTCCCACACTGATCACCCACTGGAGGCTCATTCTGGTCACCAAGCCCCTGTTTTAAAATGAATCTATGAAGACTATCTGGGTTTTCCAGGTTGGGTCTGACTTGAAACATTCTGTGCATTTGTCAGTTCATACATCCTAATTTTTTCTTTGAAAGAATATGATCACCCTGTGCATACATGGAGGAGGTATGGATCAATATTGAATCCACCCTACTACCCAGCCACAAAGGCAACCTGTGAATCATCAGGGCATAGCTGAGCATGGAAGTAGCAGGGGCTGTTGGATGGTGAGAGCAGGCCTCTCTAGAGAAGGAAGCCCAGCTGGGTGGGAGGCAGTGGCCACTGGAAGGAGAGAAAAAGGGCTGGGGAGTAGACATCCCTCCATGACGGTCCCCAGCATGCCAAGGCTGGTGGCTACTGTGCTCACCCTGCCCATTGCGTTGCAGACTTTACTCTGGCCTCTGCTTGGTCTCTCTCTTGCTCACCTCACAGCGAGGTAGGAGATCCCAGCTCCATGCTGGCACCATTCTTCCCGTGTTTGTATAACCACTATAATTTGGCTATGTCCTGTACTTTCTAAGACGATCTTTATTTTAAATAAACAATGTATTGATTGAGTGAATGTTCACCAACCCCCACTCTGTCAAGGAGCTTGTAACCTAGTGAGTAAAACAAAGTCATGGGCCCCTCATTGCCAGCTTGGGCGAGACAGGCCAGGGTGCAGGTACCCTTGGGGTTCCCTTCACAGGGACACACAAGTGGACAAAGCCTGCATATGGATCTTTGAATGGAGAGAAACAGTCACTTAATTTAGTGAGCGCCTACTCTTGATCATCCATAATCTTTCCTCATCAGTAATGGGGAAAAAAAGTTTTTTGGGTTCGTAAAGCTTTGAAGTAGTTCACAACTCTTTTGTTGTTCATGTTGGTGGTGTCACTGTCCAGCCATGTGGACTCCACCTGAGCCCTGGTCAGGTCTGCAGATCATGGCAAGATTGATTGGGCACATCATACCTTAGCAGGCCAGGGACTGGAGCCACTGAATAATAAAGAAGCAGGAGCAGAGACTCCTTGAGTGACTTAGGGACATGCCCTGGGACAGAGCCACACCCGGGTTCTCTGTGGCCCTATGGGCTGACCTTTACCTGGGGCTCACCTGGAATCATGGCTAGAAAGGACACACGACATCAGCTTCCCTCTGTGTCTCTGCAGGTTAAAATACAAGCAGGATGAACCAGCCCCACAGGTAGGGTCTCTGTGCGATCACTTTCCTCAGTTTTCATTTCCTGGTCTGCCCTGGGCATCTGGCCTTATGGGATGCTCGCATCAACACACAGCTCTGATCAGGCACCACCTAGCTTTAGGATAAGCCCTGCTCCTGCCTGACCTGTTCTGCCATGGCCTTCCCTCCAGCTTTGACTCACTCTTCTTCTGCTCCACACTTCAGTCCACTCTGCCTCCAGGCCTCTGCACATATTCTGTTCCTTTACCTGGGTGGCTCCTCCTCCCCCTTTGACCAGCTAATGCCCGTGTAAGCCTCCAGAATTGGTGTTCCCATTTTACAGCTGGAGAAACCGAGGGTCAGAGATGGGGAGAAACTTAGTCAAGGCCACACACCTAGTAAATATCATAGCTTGAACTGAAATAACATCTGTTTGACTGCAAAGCCTGTGTAATAAAATTAGGAGTCTTAATTCTGAGAAGTTAAGACTAAGTTTTGGGGATATAGTTAAAGTTAGTACACTTGTAAAGGTTAGAATTAAATAGGCTCCACAGCACCTATGATGTCCCTGCAGGGCAGCAATGAAGACTGGCGGGACACTGATCTCACAGTTGCTGTGTCATCTATTGCACTGAATTGCCTTCACTTCCCCTAAGAAGGACACTGAACTACACGTCTTTCTTCCCCAGCAGATGATGAAGACCTTGTTGTCAGGGGCCGGGCTTTAGTTGTCACTATGGCTCTGTACCTAGCAGTGTTTAGCTCGTGACAGATGCTAGGAAATACTTGTTGCTCCCTCCTCTGATAGCTTCCTCCCACAGATAACTGTTCGATCTCCACTCGGGGACAGGGGCTGTCACCAGGAACAGAAGGGATCCCAGGCCTCATGGGCATATTCTAGAGGGAAGGGAGGCAGCTCAGAGTCTCTAGTGAGTCAGGTGGGAATTGTGCCACAAAGAAAGACAGTGTGAGAGGCCAGCAACCAATTAGCTGGTGCTACTGTCTAGAGCGGCCAGGAGAGGCCTCTCCAGAAAGGCGAACTTGAGACAGAGTGAGGGAGAAGTAAACTTTGCACACACTGCAGAAAGGAGGGCTCCTGTGGAGGCATGGAGGCAGTTTGGAGTGCCAGAGAACAGCAATGGGGGGAAGTGGGAGGAGAGAGGCCAAGGGCAAAGAAACACAGAGCACAGGGGCTGAGCAGACAAGCAGCTTTAGCTGACTGGAGCTACACAGGGATGACAGTGGGGACAGGATGGCAAATGGGAGCCCATTTGGACGTTCCTGCAGAATCCAGGGGCCTGGGGAGAGGTACCAATTCCCAGTACACTGTGCAGAGAGCTGCACAGTGTGGATGTGTGAATACATGAACGTGCGGAGTAAGAGAAAGAGAGGAATCAGGACTCTGAGTATGTGGACCGAGAAGTGCCACCTGCAGAGGTAGAAAAGCCTAGTGGGGAAAAGAGTTGGGGCCAGGAGTTTGACTTTTAAGAAAGAGCGCCCCATTTGGAAATGTGGGTCTGGAGGATGTGAGGACTTACAGCTTGAGTTAGAGGGAACCCCTAACGAGCTGATGGGTCTGCAACCAGGGTTGCCCCTTGGGCAGGAACCACAGCTGGTTACATGTCTGCCTCCTCATGGAGGGTGATGACTCAGAGAGGTGGGGGCAGGATTTTTTCAACTGGTTTCCATGGTACTTAGCACAGTGACTACACATGCTAGGTGCTGAATAATGTTTGGTTAATGAATAAATGAGGGAATACAGATAGATCTTTCTACTAAATCCCAAAGTATTTAATTAGACACTTGAGTCAAAGCGGGGCTTGCTCTGTGTCACACACAACCTTACATGGAGGGAGCTGTGTGGCATGGGCGGGGCCACTGAGATAACTGGGGTGAGGGCTGATGGAAATGCAGGTATTGGGGCCACAGTAGCAACACCTCCAGCTGGAGACTCAGGAGGCACATTGCTGGGGATGGAGGAGACACAGCTGTTGGCCCAGAAACAGCCTCACACTTGCAGTCTAACTTTAGACAAGACAAACAGCATTTAGAGCACTACTTAACCAAACATGCCAGGCAGCAGTCTCAGTGCTTTGCACACGTTAGCACTTCTCTCCTCCCAACAACCCAAGGAAGTAGAGGGACTTTATCTATCACCTCCATTTTACAGACAAGAAAATCAAGCATGGTCCAATATCGTATGCAGACTCACACTGCCTCTGGGACATTCCTTCAGTCACATCACAAGTCCTGGCCACCCCTGAGCCTGTCTTCCCATCTGCAAAGTGGGAGTCCCTGGTCGCTGAACAGCACCATGGGCAGAGCAAAGGGCCTGCACAGAGTGCTGGCCCTGGCTGGCTCCTGGTGTGAAATCAGCACAGTATTTGTTCACATGTGCGCAGAAAGGCATGGAGAGCAAGGTCCTTAAATGTGCTAGAAAGACCCAGCACACTCTTCTTCCTCTCGGTATGGGAAGGACAGATGCTGCAAACTGAGAGTAGGAAAGAAGAAAAAGCCACCCTGCCCGCACTCTCCAGCTCCTCACCTTGGAATAGGGAGAGAAGTTTGTGATTCCTGGGAGAAGTCATTGGGACCAGGACTGGGGAGCCACGAGATCTCCAAAAGCTTCAGGGTAGCCATGACAGAGCCATGACGGAGCTATGCAGTACTGGCAGCGTGCGGCGCCCAGGTGTGGGGGGGAAGGGCTCTGATGGGTGCGTTTTGTTTCCAGGACCCCTACTCCGCCTTCTTTAAAGTAGACACTGACATGGATGGCATAATCAACATGAACGATCTTCACAAACTGCTTCCACAGCTGCTGCTCAACATAAAAGATGACGAGTTTGAACGCTTCCTTGGCCTCCTTGGCTTAAGACTTAGTGTCACATTAAATTTCCGGGAATTTCAAAACCTGTGTGAGAAGAGACCCTACAGAACAGATGACGCACCTCAAAGACTCCTTAGGTAAGAAGGCAGGGCAGTGTCTGTGAAGGACAGCAGCTCCTCTGTCTGCAAAGAGGTACAAAGAACAGCAGAGCACACGCTTATCTTTTCCTAAATTCAAGAAAAACCTCCCAGGTTGTATGCATTCAAGGTAGAAGACAGGTACTGGGGGTTGAACTCAAGATCTCACACTTGCTAGGCAAGCACTTTACCACTTGAGCCATGCCCCAGTCCATTTGCTTTTAGTTTGTTTTTCAGATAAGGTCTCATGCTTGTCCCTGCGCAGGCCTCAGATCTCGATCCTCCTGCCTCTGCCTCCTGAGTAACTGGGACTAGAGGCGTGCATCACCTAACACAATTGGAGCATCATTTTATATCTCTCCAGCTATGATTCTAGCCTTTTCTTCATGTGTATAAACATATACATGTATTTATTTTTCTATTTCTTAACCTGGAATCAGATGAGCATGTTTATTGCTTAACCATTTAGGAACAAAGCTTCAGAGGCCTTTAAACACACACTGAACTCTGCCTGAGGCTTAGCCCTGACATGGGGTCTCTCTTCAGGGCCAAGTAGGGGGCTGTACATGAGCTGGGCTCAGGTACCCCCTTGTCAAGTGAACTTATGCTCCATACTTCTTTACCACCAGGGGTTTGTCCAGAGGATAGAGGTGAATTCAGGAGCAAAGATCATCTCGTGGCAGTCTCGAGGGACTGAGATGTGCCTCCTGCCTCTGGAGACACAGGGACCCCCTTCTAGCAGTGTTGTCCCAAACCCCTGCCCACCCCACATGGATTCACACCCAGCCAGGAGACTTTCAATGCCCCACCGGGCTCCTCCCCTGCTTCTCTTTGTGACCTCTTTCTGCAAAAGCAGACCTTCCTAGGAGGCTGTCACAGGCAGCACCCATTGACATCTGCCGAATGCTGACATCCATAAATGGAGCAGCCAGTCAGCCCCTTCTTGACCAGTTATTATAAGAATTAATTTTTGAGATGCTGTCTGCTAGGCTAATGCAGAAGTGGACTTTCTGATATGATGACACAGCGTAATGGTAACAGTCGCTGCTCTATTAGCTTTTGAGGCACTCAGGGCCCCAGGGGCTCCATCCGACCACCTTTCTACCGGGGCATGTGGCGCCTCCAGAACCACAGCCACAATGCCCAACTGTCATGACACTTAATGAGGCTACCAAAGGGCCTTTGATCTGGCACTTTATTTATATTTTTCTCTGAATTCATAGATTTTATTTTAGTTGCTACTAAAAAAAAGCAAGAAAATGATTGTAGTCTTCCTAAGCAAAGTGGTCACATGACACACGAGCTGGCCACCTGCGTCTCCTCACTCAGGCTCTGAGGAGCTTTAATGTGGACTTGATTGCTTAAAAACAGAAAAATCCTTCCAGAGAATTTCCTGGCTAATGTGCCCAGAGTGAACATGGAGAGTTTCAACGGTAGAGCACAATCCTGCCCTTCCAGTGGCTCGGCCTTGTCCTCTGAATCTGTTCACTCACTGTGTGTTGCTAAGGACTGACTCTGCTGGACTCTGTCCCAAGACTAGGTGGTAAGAAGGTGAACAGGGCCGATACCCCTTCAGGGGCTCACTTTGGATGTGAGACCAGAACAAAAGTGAGGAGTCATATTGAAGTCAAGGAGGACTGCAGGGCCAGGAACACAGGCAGGGGAGAGCCAGGCCACCATGCAAGGTGCTAGGGAGGAGTAGGGGCATGGGCACTGCACCTTGACACATGAACAGGGCTTGGTCAGGGCATGCTAGAGGAAAGGTCACTCAGGCCGGGGAATGGCATTTCAAGTTCACAGAGGTGAGGGTGTGGAGCACTCTCAGGGGCCTGAGCGGATTCATGTGGAGGAACAGCTGCATGGAGAGGCATGGAGAGAGAAAGCATGAGGATGGGCCAGCAGATCTGGCACTAGGCAGAGTTTCGCTTTACCGGGCAGCACTGGGGTTGTGTGTGGTGAGGAGAGGGAGTCTCTTTGTGCTCTAGAAAAATCCTTTAGCCGCCCCAAGTGGAGCAGGGATCCAAAGGAGTGGGAGCCAAGCCCATGGGACCCAACTTGGCCCCCAAGGGTGGGGGGACAGCTCAGAGACCCACACACAGCGCTACTTCTGAGAGCCCTGTTCTCCCTAGCCAAGCCCTATGCTGTGCTGCATGGAGATGCCCTGCAAGCAGGCATTGCTATCTGATTACACGCCAAGGAATTGGATCTTGGACAAGAGTTAGTGTCGCGTCCCTAGAACTGAGTGAGGGGTGGTGGGAAAGGAAGGGCTCCCAAGAGCCTGTTGGGAAGGGTCACCTTCTCTGCCTAGAGTGCTTGCTTCTCCCCCTACCCAGCCTCACACTTCCCGCCAAGCCAGCCCTCATGCCATCCATCCCTTTCTAAAAGCCCTCCTGGCCCCGTGGCTGGCCCCTCTGAGCTTTGAGTGCTGTGTCATCAGAATACAAGGCTTTCGGAAACTTTGAGTTTGTCACTTTGTGGGAGTGAGGGCACTGTCTTGTTTGCTTCATGACTGCAAGCATTTCCATTTCCAGAGACAATGGCACCAGTTGGAATGACTGGTCCAGTGACTGCTCCATTTCTCCATCAGCCTGCTCCTTCCAGGCACCTGTTTCAAACACACCTGCCTTGACCATTTGTCTACTTACAATGCACATTAAGTGCATTTTGGTGCATGAACAGAGTAACGATGGAAACACTGCCACTGAGTCCTTTTCACAAGGTTAGACCACACGGATTCTTATCATGAAATACCACATAATCAAGTCTTTCCGGAGGAACGAGCTGCTGAATGAAAATACAAAGTTCCATTTGTTCCTCGAAATGCACCATTCACTCACTGAGCACTTTGGCACAAGTGTCCAGGCTGCTGTCATTGCTTCAGTCCAGGGTCCAGCCCGCCTCTGTGTTCATCTTCTGATTCTCTGGAAGCCTCTTTCTGTCTCACTTTCATCCTTACCCACTTGGGCATGAAGTAATAATTGTAAATTTTCAGCTGTGTTCATGAAATCTCATATAATACTACGAAGGTGGTGTTGTGTTTTCTGGAAACCTGAAGGCTTGGGTGCTGGTCAGTGGTGGCTCACATCAGCTTCCTCTCCTCTTGCTAAGCAATTGTTTTCTGTTTTTTCCTTGTTATCTTCTTTCTGGGTGTAGTCGGGAACAGTCGATGAGTAATGATTACATATTTTTAGGATAATTAAATAGACCTTGTAAAATTAAAACCAGTATCTCTTAAGACCTGAAAATTTATCATAGAAATACAGGAGGGTTCAACAGAGCCATGTGGTAATTGCAAGAGAAAGCGAACTTTATTTTATAAGGAAAATAAGTTAACTTTTTTTCTTCAGATGCTCTCTAAGAAAAAATAAAAGTCTAATATGGTCTCTCAATTTGGCATCGTGGTACTGCCGGCCTCCAAATGAGTCGGGAGAGCGTTCCCTCTGGTTTCTTTTCTGGATTGGATAAACTGGTTATTATCTGGTAGAATTCACTAGTGAAATCATCACATCCTGAAATGTCCTTTGTTGGGAGTTTTGTCACTGTTAATCCAGTTAATTTAGCAGTCACACAGTCATTCGGGGCTTCTAGTTCTTCTTGAGTGAGTTTTGGTGAATTTGTGACTTTCAAAGTATTGGTGAATTTCATCTGAATTGTCAGATTAATGAGCATAAGCTGTTTGTAGTATTCCCTACTTGTCCTTTGGGTACCTGTGGGATGTGTAGTGACAGTCCTTTCACTGCTGAGATGGGAGGTGGCATCTTCTCCTTTCCTCTTGGTCAGTTTAGCTAAGGCTTATCAATTTTATTGCTCTTAAAGAACCAAGTTATTTTTTTATTGGCTTTACTGTTTATCTGTTTTTAATTTCCAGTGAGATTCTGGAATTCTGAATTTCTGAATTACCTTTACTATTTCCTTCTTTCTGCTTGTTTTGGGTTTAATTTTCTCTTTTTCTTTTTTTTCAATTGGAAACTCTGGTGTTTTGAGTCCATTCTTTCCTCGTCAATGCCCTTTCATTTCCTCCTGTGCACTGGTGCAGATGTGTTTCACAGCTTTGGATATGTTGTAGTTTTTATCTTTGTTTGTTCATTCCAATACATTTTTTAATTTCTCTGGAGACCTCTTTTGTACCTGTGGATTATTTAGAAGTGTGTGCTATTTAATTTTAAAATACTCGCAGATTTCCAAATATCTCTTATCCTCCTCTTTTGGCAGTACTGGGGTTTGAACTCAGGACCTTACACTGGCTAAGCAGGCGCTATACCACTTGAGGCACACCTCTAGCCTTCCCTCTTTTTTTTTTTTTTTTTTTTTTGCATTGGTTATTTTTGAGATAGAGTCTCAAAAGTCCAAGCCAGCCTGGACCTTGATCCTCCCATTTGTGCTTCCCCACATGGCTGGGATGACAAGTGTGCACCACCACCATGCCCAGCTTTCAATGATTGAGATGGGGTCTCAAAAACTTTTTGCTGGGGCTGGCTGTGAATCATGATCTTCCAGATTGCTAGGATTACAGCCTTGAGTCACCATTCCTGGCCTTCAAATCTTTTTGTTATGGAGTTCTAGCTTAATGGAATTATTAACAGATAAAATACTTTGTGTGATTTTAATTTTTAAAACGTTGCTAAGGGTTGTTTTGTGACCCTAGATGTGGCTTATCTGAGTGAGTATTCCATGTGTTCTTGGAATGATGTTGGAGTAGTTGTCTGTAAATGTTCCCTCAAGCACGTTGGTTATTAGTGTGCGTCAGGGCTTTTGAATTCTTATTTTCTATCCACTTCGTCTATCAGTTCCTGAGAGGAATGCTGAAATCCCCAACAATTTTTGGATTTGCCTAATTCTTTTCCAGTCCTTTTCATGTACTTTGAAACTCCCTGAAAAAGAACTCATGTGTTATACTTACCCAGATACTACCATGCCTGCCGCCCTTCCTTTACTTCCAAGGTTCCAGATTTCTCTCTGCCATTATTTTCCTTCCCCTGAGGAGCTCCTTTTAGTGTCTTTTAGAACAGGTCTATTGGAGACAGGTTGTCTTTTTCTTTGGTTGAGAATATGTTTATTTCCCTCACATTTCTAAAAGATACTTTTGCCAAAAGATATATAGAGAATTTGGGGTTAACAATTCTTTTGTTTCATCCCTTTAAAAATGTTGTCACAACCGGGCTTGGTGGTACACACCTGTAGTCCTCACTACTTGGAAGGCTGAAGCAAGAGGATGCTTGAGACCAGGAGTTCAAGACCTGAGCAAAATAGCAGCAGCAGCACCACCGCCACCACCACCAAATATATATATATATACATATGAGAGAGAGAGAGAGAGAGAAATGTCCCACTGTCCTCTGGCCTCCGTAGTTACCGGGTGTGTGTTGGGGTAAGGGAGTCCGTGAGCCTCTGATGGTTTCCCCTGCTTGGAATGGGTTGTTTCTAAGGTTGTTTTCAGGAATGGTTTTATTTTTGAGTTTCAGCATTTTCAGCATAATGTATCTAAGCACAGTTTGTGTGTGTGTGTTTGCTTGTTTTTAGTTTATACTTTGGTAAGTTGTCGAGCTAATCAAATATGTAAATTTATGTTTTTCACCAAGTTTGGGGAGTTTTCAGCTATTACGTCTTAAAATATTTTTGTACCAATCTCCTTATCTCCTTCTTTTGGTGTCTCAGTGACCAAAAAGCTTAACCCTTTTGATTTTGTAATGTAGGCCCCCGACACTGTATTTTTTTTCATTATTTCTCTGCTGTTCAGATTGGATTATTTTATTAATCTTTTTCAAGTTTGCTGGTTGTCTCCTCTGTTGTCTATGTGCTGCCATTGGACCAGCCCAATAACATTTCCATTTTAATCACTGTCTTTTTCTGAAGTCTCCACTTGGTCCCCTCCCTCTCTTCCTCAATCCTTTTTTTTTTGTTCAGAATGACTGAATAGTTATTTCAAAGATGTTTACTCTTACTCCATGGTTATAATAGTGGCTTTAAAATTGGACTGTTTCAACATCTAGTTCATCTTGGGGTTGGTGTTATCTTTTACCTTGACAATTGTTGAGATTTTTCCTGCATTTTGTTACTGTGTTATGAGCATTTTAAATACTTTATCATGACACTCTGGTCCTGTTAGGATTTTCAGTAGTGTGTTAGTTGTTTGGCTGATTGGCTGGTTTCGGCAGGATGACAACTGTGTAGTTTCAGCCTGAGAGTCCTGACCTGCCTCCTGTTGTCTCAGGGTCTGTCCATCTGTCAGAGGACACTGAGTTGCAGACCTGGGGTCAATGTCAGGTTCCCGGAGCCATTGCTGTGCCACTAGGTGCCCATCAGAGGTGAACCTGAGCTTCCCACACAGATGTAGGGCCCTTCTCCCAGCCATTCCCCCATACTTCCAGCCCTAGGGCTCCCTTCACTGACTAGAAAGAAACTCTTGAGTTTTAGCCTATCTGTGCTCTTCTCTGACTGGACCCACTTTCAGGACCACATGGTAAGAGAAAACACTAGCGTGGATTCCCCGACAGTCCTCAAATCACAGGAACTCCCATTTGCCTGCTTGGACAGAGGATTCTCCAGGTTTTGGTACCTCCTCGGTCACTACTGTTTCCCAGCAGCAAAGTACAGCCTGTGATTGGGCTTGCCTCAGACCAGGACTGGGAGAATGAGAGACAAAGGGAATCCCCCCACTCTCCGTGCTACTGGAGACCTTCCCAATTCTGATGTCAGAAAGATAGTCTTGGATCTTTCCTGTCCACAGCTGCAGTTAGGACTGCCATGAGCCTAAGCTGGGAATGTGAGGGGAAAGCACTCAAAACCCATAGCTGTCATTCTTCAAGTTCTGATTTCCCTCTCTATCAGCCTCCTATCCACTTTTTTTTTTGTCCTCAGAGTCATTCCAATCTTCAGTACTAATATTTAAGTCTGAGATTGCATAGTATACTTCAAGATATATGTCATATGTATATTATATTATTATTATATTATATTATATTATATGTATGCTGAAGAATGGCTAAGAAAAGTTTAAAGAGGCTGCAGGGTTTAGAGGGGCTGATACACACACATAGGGGAAAGTCTCTGTAGGGGACCAGATAAGAAGTTTTATAAACCATAGGTGCAGAGCTGTTCAGGACACAGAGTAGTGAGATACAGATTTGGGTGGTAGGCAGTTTGAAGTAGACTGCATATCATGAGCAGGAGAAACTGAGCTGGAGCTGGGGCTAAGAGGCAATGGCAGAGGTCCTTTGCTGCGGCAGGTTTCCTGGGCATGGCTTGTAACAAGTGACCAGGTAATAGGTCAGTGTGCCTTCCAAGTCCCAATCTTCAGGCACCCCTTCTTTTATAATCCCAGGTTTGGGTGTTACATGTGGTGCAATTGATAAGCTTATGTTTCTGATATGACTTAATATATTCACAGATGTAATTATTTATTGGCACAATAAATTATCAGTTTGTGCCTCCTGGTGTGTTGGCAGATGGTGGTTGTTTACTTGTACAAACAAGATGGAAAGTCACTCTACTTTGGCACTTACACTCAAAAGGGAGTAACTCAAGTCAAAACTGTTGCTTTATAAATTGGTGTAACTCGGCAAGGGACAGCCTGAAGGTTACTTTTCTATTAAACATAGAGTAACTCTCAACTGGTCCAGCCTGCTCTCCTCAATTATGTGATTGGTCTTGAACCCTTTCAAGCAAAAGTGGTGAACACATTGACATAATCCCTTCCAAACGATTTAGTGCTGAAGTAGCGATAGGAGATTGGAGTAGCAGAGTTTCGGCTCCCTTTCCAACCTTGAAATTCCATGATTCTGTGGAGTCCGGTAGGCAGTTGGAGAGAGATGGCGCAGAAAAGAAGGTGAGGTCAAGCATGGGTGGTTCAAACTCTGAGGGTAAGCGGTATCCACGTTGTTGTTGAGACATCAGAAGAGGTGAGAGGAGAGGCCAGGAGGGGCCGGGGGTGAGCAGCCAGGTAGAGGTGACTTAGGAAAAGGTACCATCACTGAAGGCAGGTACTTTCCAGGCCAGTGGGCACTATAAACACTCATACTTCCCTAGTTTGTTTGTGAGGGGAACAACCCAGAGCATCCAGAATTCCTGCAGCCATGGCCTCTGCTGGGTTTCACTGTGGCCTGTCCAGGGCCAGGAGTGCAGGGACTTTTTGTGCATGTTTTGCAGTCCATCATTTTGTAAGTAAATATAACAGAATTTCAGTTGTCTTTAAACCCTACAAGCCAACCTTTGATAAGAGCTGAGACTGGGAAATCAGTAAGCCGCGCTCTCCTATTATGTTTCTGCTGTTTATTCGATTCTGCGTTTCCACCCCAACTTGCAAATTCAGAAATAAAAGTTTTATTGTTCTCTAAGACACTTCATGTTATATTATGTCTTCCCCCTCTCTGAGAATAAATGAGCCCTGTTTGTTTTGTGTGCTGTTAAAAAAAAAGACGTTGAATAGCATTTATCTGAAAGTAAACAAGGACTTAGAAAATTTAAGAAGACTTCCCTACCATGCAGCTGGGGAAAAAAAGACTGTATTTTAAGAATTACGTTAGGCCAGATGTGAAATAGCAGACTTTAAAGGTGTGTTTGAAACAAACAGGACTGGGGGACCCCTGGGAGATTCATGAGCCCGTTAAACTTAAGCATAGTTATTTATTATTTATTTTTCTTTTAAGAAACAAACAGAAAATTGCAGATTCAGAGCTAGCCTGTGAACAGGCTCATCAGTACCTTCTCACCAAAGCAAAAAACAGATGGGCAGACTTGTCTAAGGTAAGAAAGTGATTATCTCTTGTCATTAGGTGTTTCAAGACTGCTGAGTGATCATACAGCGTAGGTCCAGCCACTGAGACAAGAAAACAACTTCGAATACCCAATTTGCTGACTTTTTTGAGTTCTCAAGGGACTTTTCCAAACTAAATTCTCACTATCAAGGTCAACTAATGTTTAGAAAGACAAGTGATTATAGGAGTTACGTGGACACATTTAAAATTTTAAATGGAAAATATGAGAAACTGTCATTCCTAATTTTGCACAATTATAGACATACATTTTTAAGAGCCAATCCCTCCTGTCTTAATAAAATTATTGGTGACACATTTATAAGGCAAATGCCCTCCATATGCAATCCTATAAATTGTGATTATGATTTGAGTTGTGGATGAATAATCTGGCATTGACAATGACAGCTATACCTGCAGGATAATAGGACTGAATGTGAAAAAATGGGTTCATCCTGAAATCCAGGATGTGAGGCCACCATTTTCTAAAGCAACAAGGACCTCACTCTAAAAGTGTTTTTCAAACTGTGTAATGGAGTGTTTTCACATTGCTTTGAAGAATGTCTTACCTTTGTTTGATTTGGTCGGTTTCTTTCTGCCCCCTCCCCACCTGGCTTGTGCCCAGTGTGAATTCTGTATACTAAGTCCCCTGAAGAGCCTGGGGCTGCCTCTTCTCAGCCCTCTGTCCTCAGTGGGATGGACTCCATGCACCCACACTCTGCCTGGCCCATTGAGGCAGAGCCACCCTGTGGTCTGAGTCTGGAGTAGGACCTGCAGTGGGCACCAGCCAAGGATAGAGAGGCCATGATAGCAGACACCTGCCGCCCAGCCTTGTCTGGGTGCTTTTTCTGCACTTATTGTCATGATTGTGTGATTTTTTTTCTTTTCTCTGTTGACGGTCTAGATTACTTTAGAGGATTTCCAAATGAACAGTCTTGGCCACCTGGGATAAGTCTCTCTTGATGAAGGTGTTTAATTCTTTTTGTACATTGTTGGGCTAAGCATCCTAATATTTTGTGGAGGATTTGTATACCTATGTTCATGAGAGAGGTTGGTCTGTAGTTTAATGTGTTGTTGTCTGGTTTGGTGTTAGTGTGACACTGGTCTCACAGAATGAGTTCGGAGGGATTCTTTCTGCCTCTTTCTTCCTGGTTCTCATGAGGTTTCTGCTCATGGGCACCTCCTCAGGTGAGCTGTGATTCTGTGCTCACCTATCTGTCTCTCCAATTTGGGGTTCAGTGGTTTGTCCTGTGACCTCACTTCTCTTATGGACCTAAAGAGAGTTATCAGTTATTCATTTTGTTCAGATTTTTACAAGTTGTTGGGACAAAGTGATGACTTCAGAGATTTTTATATGCCAGGCCTGCTACACATTTTCAAAAGAACTTTGAAATCCTCTAGAGTTATCTTTTAAGCATAATTGTTTTTTGAAGTTGTGACTCTATTGTGGATATATAAAACGCATATGTACAGTTTAAACAAATTTAAAGTAGTCACCATGTAGCCACCATCCATATAGAGAGGAAAAAAAGATTATCAGAATCTGCCCAGGACCTGTAAGGAACTTCAGTCAATATTTTGGCTTTGTGGACAGGAAAGCTTCTGTCACAACTCAACCCTGGCCCTGCAGGCCTCGATCCTCGCCCCTGCCTTCTTCCACTCCGGTGCTTGTGCAGTGGCTCCCAGTGCAGTCTCCATTAGCATTTTAGTCTACTAATGAGGCTGAGCGTCTTCTCATTTGTTTATGCATTGGTCATTCTCTTCTTTGGCAAAGTGCTCGCTTGAGACTTATTGCGATCTTCATGCTAAGTTATCTGTCTTTTTTACTGGCCAGTGATAATTCTTCCTGGGGTCTGAATACTATCTTTTTTTTTTTTTTTTTAGTGCTGGGGAAGAAACCTAGGGCCTTGAACTACACCCCAGCCCTGGATACTCCATTTTTGTAATTGATATGTAAATATCTCCTCCCAGTGCTCTGTTTTCACCCTTTTCTTCTGGTCTCTTGATATATAAGACTTTTTTTTTAACTTGGCAGTACTAGAATTTGAACTCAGCATCTTGTGCTTGCTAAGCAGATGCTTTACATCTTGAGCTATGCTCCCAGCCCTTTTTGCTTTCATTATTTTTGGATCAGGGTCTCATGTTTTTGCTTGGGCCAGACTGGACCACTATCTTCTATTTATCCTTTCTGTATAAGTGGGATGACAGCTACACCCAGCTTTCCTTTGCCCGGGCTGGCCTCAGACTGCAGTCCTCCCCATCTCTGCCTCCAGAGTAGCTGGGATTGCAGGCATGAGCCACTGTGCCTGGAAAGACCTTCTTTTAATAAAGTCAAATTTATTAACATTTCTTTGTAGGCTTTGTTTAAGAAATGCTGTCTTATCCTGAAGTCTTGAAGACATTTTCCTACATTGTCTCTTCAAGGGCCTTAACAGTTTCAATTTTCACATTCAGGTCTTGAAATCTGGACTAGATATTCATGTGTTGAGAGGTAGGACTCAAGTTTATCTCTCTTGTGTGGGTGCCCAGATGTCCCCGTGTTTTATTTAAAAATCTACCCTTCCCCCACTGGCCTGCAGCATCACCTCTGTCCTGCACCACTGCCCACAGAGTCTCTGGCTGCCTCATGCTGTTCTGTGGTCAACTTGTTTCTCCTGGCACCTGTGCCACCTTTGTTGGTGCTATAACTTATGGATAAACATTAGTTAGCTGGCAAATGACTCCCTCCACCTGGTTCTTCAAGACTTTTTGAATCAATTTGTCAAGTTTCCAGTTAATAAAACCTGTTGGAATGTTTGGAGGAAAATGGCATCTTTCCTGTTTGAGTCTCTTAATTCATAAACAGAGTATCTCCATTTATCTTGATCCTCTTTAGCATCTTTCAGTGAAATCTTTGACTTACCTAGATAGAGGTCTTGCATACCACTTACAGATTTATTCCTAAGACTTTCTATTTCTAGTATAATTATAAATGTTACCTCTAAGTTTTTCATTTTCTGTAAAAATATGATTGATTTGCCTATTGGCACAGAACCCAGTCTCCTTGCTAAATTCACCTCTTGTATAATTTATTTGTGGATTCTTTGTATTCCTGTGTATAAAATCCTGCCATCTGTGATTAATGGAGGTTCAATTCTACCAGTCCTACTGCTGTAACTTTTATTCCTTTTTCTTGCCTAATTGAACTGGCAGAGTCCCCAGCACAATGTTGAATGGAGGGAGACAGATGTTCTTGTCTAGTTTCTGATCTGAAGGGGAAAGTTCTGGTCATTGACTATTAGGAATAATGCTTTCTGGGTTTTGTGCCCATTATGTCCACTCCATGGTGGTGGTAGGGGAGGTTTAACCTAGCCATTACTTAGGAACAGTTTAGGACAGTGCTGAGCACCACGATGGTTGCTCTGTTCTTGTCTGTGGTCTCCTAGATGCTCCACCCCTTCCCAAACTCCTGCTGTACTTCCAGGGACATTGAAATGGTGTCGTATCATCTCACCAGGCTAGCTGGCATCTAATACCCCCCACCTCCCTCTCCAGCCAGGGGACCAAACTCATTGCATTGTTGAGATTGTAACCTGCAATCTCCTTTCCCAGAACCTTATTTCTAATAGTCTTTGGACCCAAGTTGTTGGTCAGGACTAGGCTCCAGGTCATGCACCAGAGATGACCTGCTTACCTAGGCACGAGCCCCTTCTGATGCATAAGACTTGCTCCTGTTTTATGATCAATAAAGATATTGGAACTTAGATTAAGAGGTAATTAAGTGACAGATGGAAAGAGAAATGCCTTAGGCTGTTCCAGGTGTTGACCTTCGACAGTCCTTTCTGTTGTCATCAACATGTCTCATCTGTCACTGAATCTGTCTCTAATATTGTAGAATTTCATAGAGACTGATAGCGATGGCCACGGCATTCTCCGGCGGAGGGACGTGAAGAACGCTCTGTACGGCTTTGACATTCCCCTGACACCGAGGGAGTTTGAAAAGCTTTGGCAAAGGTAAGTGGTCTCAGTAGGCCAGTCCATTCTGGAGGTCATGGATTGCTTGTTACAGAAAATTGCAGTCTTTCATTATGATTTTAGGGTGTGGAAGCTGGGGATGTTTCACTGTTGCTACTGCTGTTACACTTGTTGCATGGTCCTGTGTCCTGTGTCCTTGGTCCTCATCTCCCAGAGGAAGCAGTCATGGTGGGTGGGCAGTGAGAACCAAGCTAACCCTCACTAACAGTACTGGGCCTGGGAGGTTTGTAGGTCCAAGAGCCCAGGAATGCAGGCCCATACAGTTAGAGACCTAAGTCACTCTCCAAAGACTCACTTGTAACACAACTCTCTCAGCAAACAGATAAAAAAATGAGCAAAAGAAATGCAGTTCCCCATTGCCTAGAGATGGTGTAGATGTCCATGGGTTTTACTTGTTAGAAGAAAATAACCAAACTTTTAGGGACTTGTAGTAGTTTCCCAAGGGTCACTTAAACTGAAAACAGGATCTAACATAGGTGTCGTTTTTCAAAATGCATTTTAGATTTAGTTGTTTTTCAGTAACACCGCCATATATGATGCTCCCTGTGTAGAGGTCTAAGTTTCAAGGTGCGCTAATGGTGTGGTGTGTCTAAGTTCCAAGTCCATCTTTGAATTGCTTTCTTCTTCAATAAGTGTTAGTCGCCACTTGCATTCCCCTAGGGTATGTTCCCAGCATTGCCGGCCCTCGCAGGAGGCAAGCTCATGACACCGTGTACGTGATGTTTTAGCTTTTCAGTTGAAAGAGAAAGGCCAAAATGTTGGCCAAGTTTAGAAACTAGGTGGGTTGTTTTGTGTGGAATTTGGAAAAGCAACTTGAAGCTCTCCCACAATCCTTATTTGTTAAAGATCAGTTCCAACACAGGGCCAGTTAGACTCCCCATGCATTTCCTTCTTCAGCAGGTTAAACACACACCTGCAGCTAAGTAACGTGTCTTCTCAAGATGGGCAGGTATACAACTCTCCACTCTAGACCTTTTTGGATAATTCAAGGATGACTGCCTGGACCCTGTGCTTTGGGAGCTGCCAGGACAGATAGAAGTCAGATGGATGACTAGCACACACCGCTGACTATGTAAATGCCAGGGCAGAGGACAAGCCAGGTGGAGGGAGTTAAAAGCAGGAGCAGTGGCAACCCTGGAGGGCCAGGCAGTAGTCATGCCAAGATGATCTGGAAACAGAATTTTGAGGAATCAAGATGGTGATGGAGGGTCTTCTGAATGGAGAAATACCTGGCCAGCAGTGGCATGGAAGAAACAGGGCAGACAGGAGGGCAAAGCCAGCGTCCTCACCGAAGTCAGTTTAGGGTGTTATTAGCCTGGCCCAGGACAGTGAAATCCCCGTGTTCATGTGTGAACTGAGAACAAAGCTGTGGTCTAAAAAGTGCGTCTGGAGACTGCAAGGATGGTTTGGTTTAGGCGCAGGGCCTTGGAGACCACTGCCTGTCAGGTTGGCGTCAGGAACCTGGAGAGGACACCAACTTAGGAATGAAAGGTGCTGGACTCAAGTCCCCTGGGAGGTGCCCACATGCCCTCTTCCTGAGGGTGGCAGAACCTATTTCCATCTTCATTGGAGGTAGGTGGCACCAATGATATTTGGCTGAAATTCCTCTACACGCTGATGGACATTATCATGAAATGTACAGATTTTGAAAACAATGTTGAAAATTGCTGTGGTAAGAATTGCATCCACCATTTTTCTGTTGGCCTTATTCTGTGAATGCTGAGTGGTTAAGGGTGACAGCTCTGCAGCCAGGCACCTGGGCAAGACTCCTGCCACCTTCTAGCTGTGTGACTACAATAAGTTACTTCACTTCTCTGTGCCTTACTCTTCTCATCTGCAAAATGGAGCTAATCCTCCCTGTCACCCGGGGATGCTGCATGGCTAGTAATATGTGGAAAGGGCCACCATCTTGGCCCCTGGGCATGCAGTCACTAACCCTTGCCTCCTTTGTCCAGTCTGCAAATGCATATTAAACACCTGGCTGCATGGTTCTCTGTGGTGGGGAAGACAGAGATGAGTAAATACTATAGTGCACATCTCCCTCATCTCCTTGTGTGAGCATACGGAGAGAAACACCTGGAAATAACACAGTGTCCTGAGGAGGGATCAGTGACAGCTGAACTTTGAACTTTCAAGCTACATTCTTTATGATTTTTAATTGTCTTTCTTTTTTTTCTTTTTTGGTGGTACAAAATTTGAACTCAGGGGCTTGCGTTTGCTAGGCAGGTGCTGTACCACTTGAGCCACTCTGCCAGCCCTTTGTGATTTTTATTTTCATGTAACAAATCAGCTTAAGAAGTAAACCGGAGCAACAGTGAGTCCTGTGTATGAGAGGAATAAATCTGTGGTCTCAGCAGTCATGGCTGCTCTTCCTCAGCCAGGGCCCCTTGCAGTCTTCTGGTCGCCTCTTTCCCAGCACACCTGTCCCCTCCACAAAGCACAGAGCACTGTGTTCTGGTTTTTGTTCTCTCCTAGCTCAGAACTGCAGTCCTGGTAAGCTTGGTGAATTATAGAACTAATCATTCTGATTTTGTGTCATTAGATGAACCACTTCCTAAAGAGTATTTCATGCTATATCTACATTTTAAGAATCAAATTCAATTTATATTGATTTGGGATTTTGTTAGCTACTGTCTTCTTTGTCACGTTGTTTTACTGTGCTAAAACACACATAACATAAAACTTAACCATCTTAGCCCTCTTTAAGCATACGTCACATGCACAAAATGTATACACAGTTTTGAGCTATCATCTCCACCGCCCTTCTCCATTGCTCTGTTCAGCTCATAAAACTGCTGTGTGTGTGTGTGTGTGTGTGTGTGTGTGTGTGTGTGTGTGTGCAGTACTGGGATTTGAACTCAGGGCCTCACCCTTTCTAGCCAGGTGCTCTATTGCTTGAGCCATGCCTCCAGCCCTTTTTGCTCTGGTTATTTTGGAGACAGGATCTTGCTTTACGTCCAGGCCAGCCTGGACTGTGATCTTCCTTCCTACTTATGCTTTCCACCATCACTGGAATGGCAGGGAGATGGAGCCTCACAAACTTTTTGCCCGGGCGGGCCTTGAACCTCAAGCCTCCTGATCTCAGCCACCCAAGTGGCTAGGTTTACAGGCAGGAGCCACATTACCCAGCTTCAAATTGACATTTTTAAGGTGACTTTTAAGCTGAGTAGTTTGAGTAGTACATTGACCAGGGCAGGCTAACAATGCCAACATCTTGGTGACTTCCCCCCAAATAACATCATGGCCCAGTGTGGGGCAAAGCAGGTAGTGCCCTGCCCATAAGATCATTGAGGCACAAGGTGTCCCACCATCCCTAGATCTTCTGTGCCTAGCCTGCAGAGAAGTGGGGAGAGCACAGAGGGTCACCTGGCCAGCTTGGTGGAGACTAGGCCCAGAAACCTGGCCCTTGCTTTTTCCCCATTCTGTCGGGCTGAGTCCACCTCCATGGGAGACTGAGAGAAGCAGTTTGCACATGTGTCCAGGAGAAGAAGGGATAGAGATGGAGAACTCATAATGGTGTCTGCCACTTGAAACACCCCCAAGGGAAGAGGAAGGAAGGGAGTTCAGGGATTTCAAAGGCCAGGAGCATGTTCCACAGTGTCCAGTGGGAAAGCAGAAAGTGGATCTTCTGCAGTGAATGAGGACGCAGTTGTTGGAAGGGCTGGAAGTCTGAGCAGAGGATGTAGCATTCTTTACTCAGGGACAAGGGGATGCCACTGAGGGGGCTAGTGGAACAGCAGAGGAGAGAGGTGCTATCCAGAGATTCTGGAACTGCTCCCCATCCTCCTGTGCTGAGCAGGGGCCACAGCTACAACCCCACTAGAAATGGCACAGTTCTGCCCTATCCTGCCATCCCATTGCACAGACCTCCTGTAGCAGCCGGTGGTGGCACAGCCTGTAGCAGTAGGGTAAGTGCAGGTTGAGATCTCCCAGGGAGAATGTCCTCCTATCCATTCTAGGAGAATGTCACATTTCACTTCTGCTACTGCTGCTTAGCCCAGGTGGCCAGAAGACAGACAGCAGGGAACCAGTGGAGTGGAGTTAGCATGGTATGGCATGGCAGCTGGACCCTATCATGAACGAGTTTAGGAGGAGAACAATGTGGGCAGGCCCACATTCTAGAAAGATCTCTTGGCTGTTGGGAAGAGGGAGATTGCAGGAGACAAGCCTGGAGGCTCTGAGGTGAATGAGGTGCTCTCAGTAACCCAAACAAGAGGAAGCCAGGAGCTTTTCCTGGCTGGTGCTGAGAGAACCGGAAGAAGCGAGGGTTGGCAAGAGACGGAAGAGGTGAGGATCACTCTTTAGCAGCCTGGAAGAGAGGCTGCTCAAGCAGGCCAGCTGCTCCTGGGATACAGTCTGGTGTGCCATGCACAGATGCTGGAAACTCCCTGAGTGGCTGAATAGCCCACAGCTCAGGGCTCTGCTGGAGTGCTCCTGCACCTGACCTAGAGCACCCAGACTCAGCCACAGGGCCTTCGGCTTCAACCGGCCATCAGATGGGATGGTGCCAGGCACTGGTCCATGTATGTGGAGTACCTGGCATCTGGGAGCATAAAAATTAGTAGCGAAACGAAAGTAAAATTTTTTTTTTTGCAGTACTGAGGTTTGAGGTCAGGGCCTACACCTTGAGCCATTCTGTCAGCCCAGCCCTTTTTTGTGATGGATTTTTTTTAGAGATAGGGTCTTGTGAACTAGTTGCCCAGACTGGCTTTGAACTGCAATCCTCCTGATCTCTGCCTCCTGAACAGCTAGGATTTCAGCTGTGAGCCACCAGCGCCTAGTGGAAATACAAATTTGAAAGTGTTCTGATTGTAATGTGACTACACACTGATTTCAGAAGCTTAGAAGACCCGGAAGAGCATCAAGGGAAAGAAAAGCAGCAGCAGTGTGTCATCCCTGATGTGCTCGGCAGGCCATGGACAATATGTGTCCACAGCATGTGAGGTGACATGGTTTTGTCATCCTCACTTTCCTCTCCC